ACCAATTGTGGTGGTTCAGAGTAGTTTTCTATCAGGTTACTCTGGTACTGATACAATTTCAACTCTTTAAGTTATTATCGCTGTTAAAGAGTATTTTTCTTTCTGATATTTTTGAGGATAAAAAGTGTTCATGGAAAACTTGAAGATTCCATTGTGAAATGAAGTGTTGCAATGGTATCTTCTTTCTGTGTGGACTTTAAACAGAGAATATGCCTACTGATGCCATCGGCTTTACAGCCACAGTCATAACCCGCAAGTTCGCTTTCACACAGTTTAATTATTTCACAAGTATATAGACAAAAATATATTCAAAATTGCAGAGCGTTTGGTTATATATGGAAAAAAGAAAAACAATAGTAGTGCATAGCTAGTGTCTGTGATGTAGCTGAAAGCCTGTGAGAATGTCATAATTTTGGTCCTGTCATTTTCTACGTGAATATTCAAAAACTTGAAATCAGTTATGTCAGAAGAGCTCGTTAAATCAGTTTTATTATGCACAATATATATTATAATTGTGTAGATGGACTGTAGGTGTTAATGTAGGTGCAATAAGAGGGTCTAGAATCAATCGATCAAGCTAACAAACATAGTTTGGATGATTACATTAATATACTAAATAACTGAATTACACACCAAAATGGAGAGCCTTAAAGATAATTAATTTTCTAAAGAAATTGCTTAAAAATATATTCATTTGTGTAAGTAAATAATATATGCTCAGTTCAAGAATACTTGATTAAAGTGTTAAGCATGTATGTCACTTGTCCATTCAAGCGTGTAAGGATTTTGAGTGGTCACAGGGTCTTTTCATTGTGCCTCTGTGTTGATGTCACATCACCCACTTGTGAAGACTATGGAGAAGTGCCAATTGTTCTTTTGTTTTATTATTATTTTTGCTGATCTGTAATGTGTAGGTGGTGCTGTATAAAAAGCAATTTATATCAGTGTAATTCATTGCACATCCATTTTGCATGAGCTTAATCCCCCACATTCCTTAGAGACTATGATATCAAATCTATAACCTTCTCACTTACACAACAATCACTGCCTTTTGGTTCTTCTGTCCTAGTCAGGCTGCAGCGACGAGGCCCGTTATCATCCATTATTCAACTGACTGCGTAAACTTTCATCATTGTATGTATCATCAAAGGTGCAGAGCATCTTTGGTTGTAGTAATACTACTCCTGAGCTGTGCCTTAGTATCCAGCACTGCCTAATGTGTGCTAAACACAAACACTATGTGTATTTATATGGAAGCTGCAACTCTGATTGTGCTGCAGTATTAGGCTTTCCTATCCACACACACTATCATACAGGTGATACCAAAATCCATGCAGAATGAATTCTGTCACATATTTGATTGTCCTCACAATTATATAAATATCAGTAAGTATGACTTTTATAGATTATATTAAGATATGTACAGTATAAAAGGATAAAAACCACAAAGCTCAAATTACTACTTACACATAACTGGGGGTGAACGGTTTGTACCAGAGTCTTCTTGTTTACTATATGTTTTGTATTTGTTTGAACAGTGTATATTAAACGACAAATAAATCTATATGCTGAACCAGGGAGGGAAGACTTGTTTATTTAGGCTGACATGAAAAGACTGCTACACTGCCACCTACTGTAAGTCAGGAGAATGACTATGATTGAATGATGATGGTCACCTTGTTCCAATAGATCACAGCTGTCACAACTATTTAAGAATTTAAATGTTTTTCAACTTATTTGGGGTATTTAGTCACCCCATGGGTTGCATATTAAAATGTTTCTTAATCGCTTTGGCTCATTTTGAAATAATCTTGTTCTCTAAACTATAAGTTCAATTGTTTTATGGGACTTCACAAATATATTGCATGTCTGCAAAATGTAGTAACTCACTCAAAACATGACTTATGCTTCAAAACCTAGTTATTTTGTCGGTAAATTGGCCAACGTCACCAAAACGAAAAGTTTTGTCATTGTGTGAGCTATACTGGTCAAAATGTTTAGATGTTTTTTGGCAGACAACCCTGGAAACCTTTGTTATATACAAAGGATCTTTTTGTTCTACTTTTTTGATGACATTGACAGTCAGTTTTGCCTAGCTCAGGGTTAGGCAAGTTCGGTCCTAGAGAGCCACAGTCCTGCAGAGTTCAGCTCCAACCCTAATCAAACACACCTGAACAAGCTAATCAATGTCTTCAGGATTACTAAGGCTATAGGCAGGTGAGGTTTTTTTTCAGGGTTGGAGCTGCACTCTGCAGTACTGCGGCTCTCTAGGACCGAACTTGCCTACCCCTGAACTAGCTGAATGCTGCTGTGTATCACACTGAGCTTTTTAGATATAGTTTTTAACAGTGGATAAAAATGTCAATACTGAAGTACACTGAAAAATAATACGCACATGTGTATGCATGCAGTACATTTCTTTTATCAGTGTGGTGCATGTAAACAAAAAAAACACACACACACATATATATATATATATATATGGAATATTTTTGAATTGAGCCAAAGCAATTGAGGAAATCCTGAAAACCATTTGAATGATGACAGAATAAACAATATTACATGCTTAAATGGTTGCATCAATTTTTATTGACAAACCGATACATCAGTTTTACCTTGATTTTTAACACGTCTTGTAAACTTAACAAAAAGAGCATAATCATTTGGGGGGGTCATTAACAGGAAAAAAGCTGATGAATATTCCAACAAAGAATGCACTGGCTACCACTCATCAGTCCAGATGGTTCAAATGGTTTCTGACAACATGTGTGAATATATTGAATCTCTAAGGTGGCCAAGGCAGGACTGGCGGTTACATAGATGTGAGGAGGCTGCTGGGATGCTGGTGGACCCGCCCACCTCTTAGTGCAAGAACCAGATGTAGCACAGAGCCACCCTGGATCTTGTAATCAGCTGCCGTTTTCTCATCATTCCTGAGGTGGAGAAGATGGAGGTTTAGAATAAAAATACAGAAATGTACAAGAGCATGATAAATGTGCACGTTTAATGCATTACATCTGTTTTCCACTGTAGATGAGTCTCTGTTGCTGGGGTGGGATTCCCTCTTTTTCCTCCACTCTCTCTTTTATTCTCTCCACCTGAATAGGGTGGATGCATCAATACACATCAATTCAAATGCTCTTTGCTGTTAACTGTGTAAAATATAAACAACTGCGGGATCATCTTTTAATATTTGCTGTAAATCCTTAACCAATTTTTATTGTACCTTGTCTGTAGGCTCGATGTCGATCTCGATTTCTTTGCCAGTGAGTGTCTTTAAAAACAACGAGGACGATTAATTCATTTAGATTAGGGCTGCACGATTAATCGCATGCGATATTTAATGCGCATCTTGTCAGAAAGCCGGTTCTGTAATCAGCGGTAAATCTCCATGATTTCCCTCCGAATGGGTCTTTTATCATTTACATGCGACAGTTAGTTATAATATTATCTATGTACGTCATATTGTAATAAAATGCTGTTTGTCTGATTCGCAGTGCCTTACTATATTTAATAGCTCAGACTAGAACCATACTTTATAAGAACTGTGCTGAATGAAATAGCTGTTCTTCGTTAATTTCTTACCTTGACTTTAATTAGCATTGTAGCTTCTTCTGTTCTAGAAATACATGCAGGGAAATTGAATGCGAATACAATAAAGTGATGGTAGAAGTTCAGGCACCTCTAATCAAATTATTTCCACAATTCCCTCACTGAATTTCCTGCGTTACTAAAAAATAATTCCTACCATTCTAGTGTCTGTAGGAACCGTTCCGAGGGGCTGTGTGGAAAAATAAGAGGCATTTGATGACAGACGACGATTTAGAATTTCGTAAAATGAACGAATTGTTTTATATTTTATAATTTAAATACACATAACTTACTAAACTACCTCTAAGTAACAAAATATTTCAGTTGAATTCAAACTGACAGGGAAAAATAAAATGTGCGCCATTTATTGCCACAGTACGCTGCGAAGCAGTCGTTGTCTGTAGTTTTTCGCCGAACGTTCGAACTTGAATTTACGCGCAAGCCGTCAGTTTAAAGACTACAGGACACGCGCTGACAGCCGTAAACATCCGCCCTCCTAAAATGACCGCCTCCAACCCGGAAAGCGGTGTCATTCTCTCGCATACAGCATTTCAAGGAGGTTCTCGTCTCCAATTATAGGTAGGACAAATTTTATTTTGTAGCGTCTATATATAAGGACACACGTATAATTGTTTGTAATGGACAGTAAAAACATTTAGTGTCAAGATGACAGAAAATCAGCAATTATGCTCTTGTGGCCTAGATTATCTTACAGCTAAGACGTGCAAAACACCGAACCAGAGACATTTAAGGGTCATTTTATTTTTTATGGTGTATTGCTTTACTGTCTGAAATTAAATAGCTATTTGGTATCACAAAATGTTTAATCACAGATTTAGAGTTTTGTTTAATTATTATGAAAAAGGATATTTCCTGTCCCACACTGTATCACCCTCTCCCCCTTCCTCATCCTCTGCAGCTCAGCTCTCATAACTGAAGGAGTGGGAATGTTTTTCTTTCCCTTGTCTTGTGTTTTTGCAGACAGTGAGATACGGTTAGAGCAGTCTCAAGGCCATCCTCTTCAGCAGCCATGCCACGCATTGAAAATGATATCAAGCTCGACTTCAAGGACGTGCTGCTTCGACCCAAAAGAAGCACTCTCAAATCTCGCAGTGAGGTTAGTCACTCTTAATATGTTTTTATTTGCATTATAGATGACATATAGGCCTTTCACAGACGGGGCTTAGACTAAGCTAGGATTAGGCCATAGTTCAATTAGGAAATTTAAGTAATTTTTATAAACGCGCCTTAGAGAAAACATTACTGGTGTGCATCTTGAGACAAAACAAAGGCACTGATATATTTTAAGATCAGTCAGTGCAAGTTTCTTTCAGTTGAAACAGCTCAGACTTACATTTTAGTCTGGGACTAGGCTTATGGCTTGTCTATTAAACCGGGGGATAGAGTATTAGTTTGGTCTGGCCTCAGTTTAATTAAAGTTCCACTGCAATCACTTTCATTACTTTTCACACTCTCTTCTGTTTCTCATCTGTTTCAGGTGGATCTCATGCGCAGTTTTACGTTCAGAAACTCAAAGGGCAGTTACCGTGGGATTCCCATCATAGCTGCCAACATGGACACCGTGGGGACTTTTGAAATGGCCTTAGTCTTACATCAGGTATGAATGAACTCTTTTCTAATTTCCGTACAGCTGAACACATCAGTCTCAACAGAAACCTGAACAAACACCTCCATGATATCAAAAAATGTTTAGACAGGAAGAAAAAGAGTACATTATCAGAAACTCTATATTTTATGTCAGCATAACCTGATGAAGAGTCGAGTGGTCAAAAAAAGCACAGTTTTCTATAATTTCTTTAATTAAAAAGGCATGAAAAACAGATGTTTAAAATGCATTATTTTTGGTATTGATGTCCAGAATTTAGTTCTAACTTGGTACTTTGGCCTATGACTTCTCAGGGTCTACAGATGATAAGTGTGCACTGTTGCATGTTTAGTTAGACTTATAATCTGATGTTTAGTTAAAGTAATGTGTTTGTTACATTGATAAGATATAAAGAACGCCGGTCACTTTAAGAGTTTGGAATGAGCAATGATGTCGACACTAGAATGTTTTCACGCAGTTCAGTGATGAGTTGACCAGAACAATAAAAAGTAAAATAAGTTAATCTTTTCAGACAGAACATGCACAGAATTCACTTTTTTTTGTGCCCTTTTTGTCCTCTTAACAGATGGCAGGTTATAATAATTATTGTAATTTTTTTTTGTAGTGTAGTCTCTTTACAGCCATCCATAAGCATTATTATGTGGATGACTGGAAGGCGTTTGCAGCCAAGCACCCAGAATGCTTACAGGTGAGCAACATCTTTGCTAGAATTTTAAATCTAGTCAGCAGATCTCTAGATTATTGATATTTAAATGATGACATGCTTTCTTTGTTTCTCCAGAGTGTAGCAGTCAGCACGGGGACGAGTGATGGGGACTTTGAGAAACTGGGGGCCATTGTGGCTGCTGTACCTCAGATTCAGTACATATGTGTGGATGTGGCCAATGGTTACTCTGAACACTTTGTCAACTTTGTCAAAGACGTGAGGCAGAAGTTCCCTACGCACACTATCATGGTCAGTTACCTGTCAACAACAACAGATAAACATTTTATTGACATTATCTCGTTAACAGTCATCTTAATATTTTGAAATATATTTGTGTTTTGTAGGCTGGCAATGTGGTCACAGGAGAGATGGTTGAAGAGCTGATTCTTGCTGGTGCTGACATCATCAAAGTGGGCATTGGACCAGGTGATGTCATCAGTCGTCTATTGGCACAGTTTCAGATGGTGTTCAGATTCATATTACACCAGTTTAACACATATGTTCATGTGTGTAGGTTCTGTGTGCACCACTCGTAAGAAGACTGGTGTGGGTTATCCTCAGCTGAGTGCAGTCATTGAGTGTGCTGATGCTGCACACGGCCTGGGTGGACACATCATATCTGTGAGACTCTCGGGTTTCAGAGCAAAGTTCTTACATTAATCCGATAAAGCCATACATTACATTAACCATGCGAATTTCTACAGCTTCTAAATGATCAACATGAAAAACCTGTTACACATAGTCTACTACATGCCTTCTGTCCTCTGATTGAAGGCCTTTTATTATAATTCTAAAACGGCCACCCTCAGGTCGTGTTATGAAGTAAACATAAGTGTAAGGATAATATTGTTAATAATATTTTAAGATGAACATTTGTTGGACTGAAACACCTTAGGTTTACTTGATTATCCACACATCATGTTTTAGAAAAATCGTGTTAAAATGTAAGTGTCAATTATGATAAAACAGGCTTTTTAGGAATGTTTATATTATTTATCTCTTAATCATCATTGTATTGCTTTGCTTTATATTTTGCCCCCCAAAATTAAAACCGCAGAGCTTTGATCATAAGGCTGAACATTTAAATACCATTTACTAAGATATATTATTGCAAGATATAGAGTGACAACTGATATTTATGTGCATATGTAAGAGGTCTCTTATAACGTTATAAAAATCTTGTGAAAAATCTCTTGATTTAACTATCAGAATTTCATCTTCCTTTTAGTCCATATGAAATAAAAGCCCCACAATATGTAATATCCTCCTCCAAATTGCATATTTTTGCTCAGTTTGGGCCTAAAATAAACTTGGTGTTTTTCCTCCTTGAGTATAAGCTCCATATTCTCACTATATTATATTACATGGGCTATAAAAGCCTGATGTATCAAATATGGACAAGAAACATGAAAAAAAAAATATATATAATATATATATATATTTTTCTATTTTTTGGATTACACCGGACACGAGCGGCGCAACGCGACTAGACAACAGAACCCATTATAATCGGCGATTCTGTCTACACTGGATTTTACACAAGCACATACAAGCACTTCTGACCTGAAAGAGAAATTGATTTGCAACAGCGCTCGCGTCCGATCTAGATACGGTGTTAGGATCACAAGGAAGGCAATTTATAGACTATTTTTCACAACTTACACTACACAGTGTCTTGTAATCTTGTAATGTCATCTGTATGGTTCTGTTGATGGAGTAATCCTGTGTTCGCGTCTCTCTAGTATTTCCTCTCCTACTGCTACATGTATGCACGTATCAGTGGGTGGGGCTAAACAGGCAGTGATGTAGAAGCAGGCGTTGATCTTGCAGAGGCACTATTACGTCATAAAGTGGCACATTCCAAAACAAGTCGTTTTCTGAGCTTGGTTTCAATAAAAGCTGTTTTAAGACTAACGAGAAAGTTCTGAGTTTTGAAACTTGATGTTTTCATAGTACAATGACCTCTTATGTCAAAAGATCAAGGGAAATTTGATTTCTCAGTTCATGACCCCTTTAAACAAATGGTTTTTCTGACATTATGTCAGGCTTTATAGTGATAACAATGAAAAGTAACAGACCCACCCTGCTGCTTGCATGCTTTGTAGACACAGAATCTTTGATCATGTATTTGTGGGACTCATCTGTTTTTCATCTTGCTGTAGGATGGGGGATGCACCTGCCCAGGCGACGTCTCCAAAGCATTTGGTGAGTTTTGGTAGCACTGCATTATAGTAATGGCATAAAACAAGAAAGCAAGTCATCTTAGTAGCCACAAATGTTGGATTCGGATATTTCTACATGTGCAGGCCACATTTTCTTGGAATTGCTCTGTTTCTTCTTCTTCTTCTTCTCCAAAGTGAATCGCATTTGCTCGAAAACTCACAAAACTGCACACGCGTCAGAACTGGTGAAAATTTACATCTGATATAGGTTTCAGAATTGGGCGTGGCAAAATGGCTTGATAGCGCCACCTATACAATTTAAACGAAGTGCCCCTCCCATTATGTTTCACATTCATGTATGAAATTCGGTAATGCCCCAATACCTACAAAAAAGTCTCTTGGAGCAAAGTCCTAAATGCAACAGGAAGTCAGCCATTTTGATTTTCCTCTACCATTTTTGTGCAGGTGTTGCCACTTTCAGGCCTTGTACTTTAACGAACTCCTCCTACAGTTTAATCGAATCATCTTCAAATTTGGTCAGTGTAATCATAAGGCCTGTGCGATGATAAATTGTGAAGATCTTGAGTTTTTGTTAAAGGGCATATCCGTGGCGGCCTGACAAATTTGGATGTTTCGCCATGGAAAATGATGTTGTTGTAACACAACCATACAATGTC